TCCCGCCCCCGCGCCAGCCCTTCCCCAACAGCTCAGTGTCCTGAAATGGCACGCGGGGCCCGGGGAAATGGTCCGTGCACACTGGGTGACCCATTGGATTTGGGCTCCATTGGGCTGGTAAATGGGTGGACCTGTGAGGGGTGCAGTAATGGGGGGGTGTGAGAGAGAGAGAGAACGAATGAACGAATGAACTCCGGAGGGTCTTTGGGAGGCACGTTTGTACCAAGAACGGAGGCTGTTTGCATCCGTCCCTCCCCTGAGCCGGCCGTGGCTGAGAGGGCAGGGTACAAATTTAATAAATAAATAAACTTGTGGAGGGTGGGGGGCAGGGGAAGTGTCTCCCCCCTCAAGCCCCCCTCAAGTCCCACTCTCCACAAAATATCTCCAGCCCGATAGCAAGCCAATATTTTAGTATTTATCTGCTTAATGTGTATGCCCTGCCTGCCTCCTCCGGGGGGGGGATGGGCAAAGCAGCTCCCCTCCTCCCCCTCCTTGCCTCCACTCATCCTCACAACAGCCCTGCAGAAAGTGTGTGCCTGGCCCCAGGTCACCCAGCAAGGGTCCGCAGCATGAGTGGGGACTCGAACCGGGAGCTCCGAGCCCAACACTGTGGCCCCTGCCCCCGCTCTGGCTCTCGCTAAGGATCCCTGGCCCGTCTCACCCACCTCTCTCCACTGCAGGAGCCAATGGACAGGTCTCCTATGGCGCTTCCCCCGGAGAGGACTTCTCCATCGACCCCACCACGGGCCTCGTCAGCACCCGGCGCTCCTTGGACCGCGAGGAGCAGGCGGAGCACCTGCTGACAGGTAACGGGCCCAGGCGTGGCTGGGCTGAGGAGGGGGGCAGGGGTCCCGTGCGCAGGTAAGGGGCCCCCCAAACCCGTGGCTGCCTCTCCCCACAATGAACAAAATAGATACCATGAGATGGCAACAAATAGGCACAGGCTCTTCTTTAAATTTACTTATAAATAATGTAAGGGTGCTCAGTAGAACTTAATATCACATACAATCCTTGTTATTTGTATCGATACAAGTACTACAAAAGACATTATTGTCCACTTCTTGCAACAACCCATTGAAACAAACGACAGCATGCTCTGTTACACATGTGAAAGACTCTGACGGGTCCCGGACTCAATGCTCCCTGTAAGCTATGAAGTCCTGTGAGCAAAAATTCTACTTTGTGAGCTCCTGGCACTAAAGTTGTGAGCGAGCGATTTGGCTGCTGTATAAATGAGTTTGCTCTGGAGCCCCATCCCTTCCCGAGCGGAGACAGAAATCTGTGAGCCGGAGGCTAAAGAACTGTGAGCTAGCTCACACTAACTCAGCTTAGAGGGAACACGGGTCCCGGTTTACTTTCAGCCCATTTCTTTGTCTTTATCAAAGAATCCTCACTGCACATAATATATAAAAATACAAAATACAAAAAAATACAGAAAGGTCACCAAACAAACAGCAGACATACAATGAAGATACAAGTCATCTGTTACTTTACTCACCACATAAATTCTACATAGATGGAAGACTTCTGAAATTGCTTCTGTGGGACATCGCTCCTAATTCGAGTCTGCCTTCACTGTATAGGACATGCCATTAATTTAAAGAAGGCTCTGTGGATATTTGTTGCCATCTCATGGTGTATATTTTGTTCATGTCAGGCTACAGGTCCGTGAGCCTGCAATTTGGCGTGCCTCCCCCCACAAGGCAGCTGTGGGCATCTTCTCTCTCCTCGGCTCACTTGGGAGCGAGCGCTGGGCACGGGCGGGCGGCGTTGGGTGGGGGTGGGGGTGGGGGGGATTTAGGACTGTGAGAGGCTCAGCTGGAGTGTCTGGGAAAGCCGGTTTCCCACCCTTATGCCTGCAAAAGCAGACTTGAGAAAGGGTTTGGTTTTGGCCTGACGAAATGACAGAAATGAATTGGGACAGAACTGGACCTGGCTTGCGTGACCGAGACCTGGGTGCGGAGCGGGGAGACTGTAGCTCTCTCCCAGCTTGCCCCACCCGGGTTTTCGGTCCTACACCAATTCCCGGAATAGGGGGCGGGGGGGGAGGAGTGGCGATACTTGTGCGAGAGGCTTACTCCTTCAGGGCACTCCCGGCCGCGGAGATCACGGGCATAGAGTGTGTCGGTCTGGTGCTGGAGGCTGAGGAGAGTTTGGCGATCTGGCTGGTGTACCGACCGCCTAACGCACCGGCCAGTAGTCTGCTGTCCCTACTGGAGGCCGTAGCAGGCTAGGCGTTGGAGCACCCTCGGCTTTTAGTCTTGGGTGACTTCAACGTCCATGCTGATGACGCGGCCTTGTGTCGGGCTACGGACCTGGTGGCGTCCATGGCGTCGCTGGGACTCTTCCAACTGGTATCGGCTCCCACGCATCAGGCCGGGCACACGCTCGATCTGATCTTCGCGGCGGGGAGTATAGTGGACCGGATTACCACAGTGGAGGTACCATGGTCGGACCACTATGCCCTGAAGGCTCGTGTAAGTGTCCTGCCCCGACCCTGTTTAGGCGGCGAGCAGATTTTAGCTCGCCAGCGGAGCTTGATGGACCCAATGCGGCTTCAGATGGCTCTGCGGGACCCGATGCCCCCTGACGGTTCGTTAGATGAGCTTGTGGAAGATTGGCACAGCCGATTCGCCACGGCCATCGACGTGATCGCTCCTCTGCGT